TACTCTCCCCCCCCTTTTTATAAAATTTATTATTATTTTTGTGTGTGTGTGTGTGTGTGTCTGTGTACCATCAGATCAGATCTGACTGGTACAGGAGGAGATTGTCCCTCCTTTCCCGGCAGAGTATCTGGTGGATTCGAACCGTGCGTCTCTGGGATTGTAGTGCAGCTTCTTGCCACCAGAGCTCCCCAAGCCAGTACTCTTGAGAGGATGTCTGGTACACAGAAGGCTTCTTAATAAGTCCTTTCTCAATGACTTGATAGCTGACCAGTTTGTCCCCTACTGCACTGTTTCTTGTCTATGGGAAATGCGTCCCAGGCTATTGTGTGAGGCCAAGTGTTGGAAGCTGGTCTTAACCACCAGCAGGATGGAAGCATCTGTGAGTCTGCATGCAGCCTTCACTGGTCTGTTATCCCTACTTCCTCAAGGAGATATTGAAATAAAATAGATTAAAACATCTATCCTGCTGAAACAGCAGAGAAATGGAAGAATCGGGTCATAGATCAAAATCAACAGCAGATTGATTGCCTGTTTGAACAGTTAGGATCTTCTTGTAGGCAAAGTATATAATTGTTTTCTTAGTCCTGACTATATGCTTTTCACACTTTGACTTACACAGCTTATTCATTTTGATTGAAACCTCCATTAAGTGAGAAGATGGTGTTGCCAGTTTGTTGTTGTTATGTACCGTCGAGTTGCTTGCGACTCATAGTGACCCTATGTACAGCAGTTCTAAACCCTGCTCTATCCTGTGCCAACCTTACTGTCTTTGACACACCTACCCCCATTACCCCAGCCACTGAGTCAGTTCATCTCATCGAGGGTCTTCTTCTCTTGTGCTGTCCCTCCACCCTCCAAAGGATGATGTCCCTCAGTAGTTTAATATTTAGTGACCAAACACCAGTTGCTGTTGATTCAATCCTGACCCTATATGGTTTCCAGTGGCTCATTTTTGGTAATTGGATTGCCAGGCCTTTCTTCTGAGGTACTTCCTGATGGGCTCAAACATTTACCTCTCACTTAGCAGCCACACACCTTAACTGATTGCACTGATTGCATCACTCAGGACTTCTTCTCTTCTGTCCAGGTGGTTCTTAAGTAATTGAAGTCTAGTAAACACTTGCTAAAAGTGGGTCCAAACTTGAATGTGCCTGAGCATTTCTGGGGAGCTTGTGAGAATGCAGATGCTGTTCAGGAAGTCCAGGGGTTCAGGAGGTCTGAGGAGGGACCCAGGAGGTGAGTGCTAGTCTGACACACAGATTAGCAGCCTCAGCATCATGGGAGCTTACCTGAGGTGCGGGGCCTCCTGGATCTGCAGCCACAGACCCCAGGTGGTTTCTAGGCACCCTCGAGTTTGAGAACCACTGACCTCACATGCTCTGGGGAGTCAGTGACCCCTTGAGCCATAGTGCCTCTGATTCAGGTCACTGACAGAGCAGAGCTGTCCCTATTCACAGGATTTCCAAGGCTGTACATGTTTACAGCAGCACATTGCCTCTTCCCACTCCTGGGGGGTAGTTTGTAGATTGAAGAGCCTGGTTATGTACTGGTTGAAATGCCAGAGTGCTGACAGGGTGGTGGTTCAAAGCCACCAGCCACACTAGGAAAGAAGGACGTGACGTCAGCTTCCATGAGATTTTACATACAAGATTTTCCTTCAGAAACCCTTTGGCGTAGTTCTGCTCTGCCCCAGGGGGTCGCCGTAATCAGGACTGACTCAGCGATGGTGGGTCAGGGGGTGGATTGTAATGTCAGGGAGACCTGCAGTGCATCTTTCCTCCTTTCTAGAATGCCTCTGCTTTTCTAGAACAGGATGTCACCACTCCCCATCCAGACCCAGAAGGATTTCCCTCTTGAACTTAGGCTTACCTAATGAGTCACTTAGAACCCTTAGAACTTCTCCCGTGACCGTGACACTGGGTGATGTCTGAGGCTAGAAAAGTAAAGCCAGTCAGCTTTTGTGTGGGGCTCCCGAGGCACCATTTTTTGGGAATCGGGCCGCTCCCTAAGAAGTCCAAGTGCATTGAGACTGCAGTGTTGAAGAGTCCTCGTGTGAGTGCTCCCGTGCCCACCTGTCAGAGCAACCAGGTGGCCAGTGTCCATGGCGAGTCATGAAGTTTACTGTTTCCTGTGGGCTTATGTGCTCTGCACAGGGTATTTAGGTGTTTGTACCTTGGTATCTGTGAATATGATCTTATTTGGAATAGAGTCTTTAATGATGTTAAAAGGTTAAATCTACGTGAGGTCATACTGGAGAAAGGTGGGCAATAATCCAGGGACTTCTGTCCTTATTTAAAAATAGAGGACACTCACAGGCACACACACAGAGGCACACACAGCAACACACAGAAGCACAAACATACACACACAAGGAAACACACAGAGGTACACACATGCACACACAGAGAAACACACAGAGGCACACACACAGATGCATACAAGAGAGAGACACACACACTCGGGGAAGACGGCATGTGTCTGTGGAGGCAGAGATTAGCGTGATGCTGCTGACAGCTAAGGGGTGTCTGAGGCCCCCAGAAGCTGGCAGACGAGGAAGGATCCTCCTTTTCAGCCTCCAGGGAGAACCTGGCTCTGCCTGTACCCCAGATTCAGACTTACCGCCTTCAGACTGAGAATAAATTCCTCTTCTTTTCAGCCACTCACTTTATGGTGCTTTGCTGCGAAAACCTCAGGGAACTTAGAAGTGGCCTTTTGACGCCCAGTCCAGTTGAACTTTCATATGGCAGCTGCAGGCCCAGGTGACATCCAGCTGCTGTTTTCTCAGGAGAGACTCCTCCTAGGAGGGAGGTGGTTTAGATGAGCCCTTCTCAATTTCCTAGTCCACAAAATCACGAGTAAAATATAAACGGTATTTTACAGCCATTAAGTTTGGGGATAATTTGTATATACATTACGCATTCTTGTCAACAATTTCAAATACAGTTAATTTTCGTTCACTTTATATAAAATGTGTTTAAAACACTTGAGGGCAGAGTACACGTGATCACACAATCAAATAACACAAGCCAGCAAACAGTGTGGTGACGCGTGTGAGTGGAAGCCAGAATAAAGCGGTAAAGGCCGTACAATCCTGTCCATGCTGCCAGACACTCCACGTCTCTGATTTCACTTCCCTCTAACTCTCATTGTGAAAAACGTGGCAGTATTTTTGTGAAGACTCATAGCTTTGAAAACGCCCTAAAGAGCAAGCAGTTCTACTCAGTCCTCGGTCGCCATGAGTCAAAATCGACTTGTTGACAGTAAATTTGATGTTTGTTAGTGCCCATTTTAGAGATAGGGGAACTGAGGCTCAGCGCTATTAAGGACCTCACCAAGAGTCAGGTGAGGCTGTGAGCCTGAGGAATCTGACCCCAGGGCCATGTGCAGTGGGCGAGAGAGCCATTGAGAGAGGTGAACCACTGAGTCTCTTCTTACTGGAGCCTGAGAGCGGACTTGTGTGGAGCATGTTGTTGTTGTGTATTGTTGTTGTGTACCATGACTCAGTTCTGACTCCGCGTCACCTATAGGACAGTATGGAAATGTCCCATATTACAAGAGCACAGTACTGGATCTTCTTCAGAGTGCCCAGGGGCTTTGAACTGCCAACCTTTTGGTTATTGGCTTCTTAAACTATTGCTTTACCGGGTCTCCTTAGGGAATATTGAGTTGATTCTGACTCATAACAACCCCGTTGCTGTTGAATTGGAACAGATTCATCACTGACCCTCCAGCAGGTTATCAGAAGCAGCAAATTGTGTAAGAGGAAATGACCCATCTTTCTCCTGTGTGCCTTTGGGTTGACAGCTCAACTCTTTGCCATCAAGGCACCAGAGCCCCCTGTTCTGACTCATAGCCACACTCCAGGACAGGGTAGACACTCCATCCCATAGAGTTTCCAAAGCCATAATCTTTACAGAAGCAGACAGCCACACCCTTTCCCCAGAGAGCACCTGGTGGGCTGGAACCTCTGGCCTTTGGGTGAGCAGTACCTCTGCCCAATGCAATGTGTCTTCTGATATCTTGGCTGCTGCCGCCATAGGTTGTTCATTGTGGATCCAAACTAAAAAAGTCATTGTACCATAGAGTCGGAACTGACCATAGCTGACCCTCCACCAGGTTTCCCCTCAAATTAAAACTGGCTTATAGCTGACCCCGTAGGGGATTTCTGGGCAGGCTAGAAATCAAACAGGGGAACTCTGGTGGCAGGAGATAGTCCATCTTTCTCCCTCAGAGTGAGAGGTGGCTTCATACCAACAGAGAGGCCTCACCTTTGGGTTAACAAGTGAAGTTCCCTACAAACAATACCACAAGAGCTCTCTTGTGAATTGAAGTAAATTGAAATGGTTGACAACGTCAGTCTTTTTTTCATCTGTGTAGTGGCTTAGTGGTAAGGAGTTATGCTACCAACCCAAAGGCATACAGTTCGAATCCACCAACTGCTCTGTAGGAGAAAGATGGGCATTCTCCTCCCTTGCGATGTACTGCCTCTGAAAACCACTGGACAGTCAGGTGTGAGTCAATTCCATCTTGATGGCACATAACAAGAAAGCCATGACTTATCTGTTGGTTCCGTTGTGAGGATTTCTGTTTTCTTACTGTTGAGTTGTATTCCATATGGAAGGTTCTAATATTTTATATTCTTCAGCAAATGCTTCAAGTCTTCTCTTTGTGTAAGAAGGTTCTCTTTGGACCCCACAAGTTCCTTGGATTCTTTGTGCAGTGCTCCCATCCCAGCTATTCCCTTGAGTCCAGAAGGGTCTTGCTGGAAGATGGCCAAAGAAAAGCCATGAGATCGGCACTGTTTGTTCCATCTCTCTCTTCAGTTGGAACTGGCTGAGACCCATCAACAGAGGGGACTGGGGCGGGGAAGGTAATGGGAACCATGTTTTCTTCTCCCAGGACTGGATTCTCATCCCAAGGTGTACAGGACGGCCTTCTTGGGAACCAGAGAAGCAGCTGAGTATCCAAATCTCATACCTCTTTTCATTGTTCCACTTCAGGTTCACTGAGTTTTTGGATCCTTTCCAGCGAGTCATCCAACCAGAAGAGATCTGGCTCTATAAAAATCCTCTGGTGCAATCAGACAACATCCCGACCCGGCTCATGTTTGTAAGTACCATGATCTTATGACCTACTCACCCTTCTCCCAGATATGATCCATGCAGGTTTGCCCACCTGCCTTCTGTTTCCCTACTGAAGGCAACAAAGAGAAGTTGGCCATCACCTTCAATTTCAAGTCTAAACAGGAGGGAGCTGCTTGGTCGGGTGTGAGGTAGTCATTCTCCAAGAATAACTGAGAAGAAGCCACCTGGCTCTGTGGAATTTTTCCAAATGTTCACGGTGAGGGAAGACTAAAAGCCAGTAATCCGATTTTCCCATTCCTCTGTTTCTAGAATAAGACTCAATTTTGGTAAGCTTTGTTAATTATTGACTATTGGAAAGACCTTTGGGTCTGCAGATGCTGTGAGATACCTAGTCTCATGAGTAGTAACACTTAAATGACTTTTTAAAACATATGTAATCTGATTAAAATGTACGCAGAGGCACCGTTTTACCAGTATGTACCAGTGCAGTTGAGCGGCACTGATTGTGTTCTTCAAGTTGAGCAACTGTTCTTTCTTTTTTTTTTTTCCAAATGACTCCACCACTGTGACCCTGAACTCACTCCCCCAACACTTCTCATCTGATCTTCAAGTTGCCGTTGTCAGTTTGAGCCCACATAAGTAATTCTTTAGGAGTTCTGGTGGCCTAGCATATAGCGTGTTCCACTGCTAACGGAAGGTTATGTTTCTGGCTGTTCTTCGAGAGAAAGATGAACAGTCTCCCATTATGATTTCCAGCCTCAGATACTTGGTAGAATGTCACTTTGAGTTGAAAACAATGGCAATGAGCAACTTTGAGTTAGATAATTCTTTAAAAGAGGACAGTGCCTGAGACAGACATTCTCTGCTAATGAAGCTTAATTATTATTTGGTTCAAAGAATAGTTTAGGGCATAGTTTTGGTCTCAAGTTTAAAAAGATTGTCTCTGGATGTCTTTGTTACTTCGTGCTGTTCAAACAGAAATACTACAAGTAGATTCCTTTAGTAAACACATTTTTATTCTCACAGTTTAGGAAGCTAGAAGTCTGAATTCAAGAAGCCAGCTCTGTGGAAAGCTTTCCCTCTGCTTTCTCTAATGGAAAATCCTTGGCTCCATGTGCCTTGAAGTCAATGTTCTCCTGGGCTAGGAGCATTTCAGGGACTCAAGGTTCAAATGGTGGTACATTCGTTCTTCTTGGTTCATGGATAGAAGGCCCTTCTCCTGACTCCTGTGAGATAAAATGTGTGACTCAAGCAAAGGAGTTATAACTAAGTGGTCACTTGAGGAAGTATTACTTGAAGTGGTCACTTGAGTAAGGGTAAGGAGCCCATGACAGGCCTGTGATTCAAGATACTCTCCACACGGCCCCTGCCTTGTTGGCATATAAAGTTCGAGATTTACAACACATCACAAAATGTGGGATAAATAGATCACGAAGTAGAGACCACTCACACAATATGGGGTGTATGAGTTAACCAACTTGACGCATGTTTTAGGAGGAAAGAATTCCGTCTGTGGCATAAAGCAGCAGTTTTCAGGGTTCATGCAGATTCAAAAGTCTGAATTCCATGACAATTTGAAATTCTTTTCAGCACCTTACCCCCTTTTGATCAGGATTCTTCTTTTAGAGTCTTGCATCCAAATATTCATTCACAGGAGCGAGATTAATTGCTTTTTAAATAGTTGCTCTTCTGCTGAAAATAAAACAGAACTTTAGGAAATCTCAAAGAAGACCGAAAAATTAGGATGGTTGTGAGAAGCGCACTCACATTTGAGAATTAAAATCTGACCTTTCTCTTTCAGCTCTTCCTCAGATCATCTGTAAGTCCTATAAACAAAGGAACTCAGAGTGTTTCTAAGCAATTTTCACTAATGGCTTTAAGAAGGGATGCTGCTGTTTTTTACGCACTTCGATTCTTCAAAGCCTTCACATTTCATGTGCCATAGGATGCACTTTGGAGCTAAGTGCTTGCAGGGGATACCATCAGAGACTTTTGGTGGCTGTGTCCTAGATTTATGAACAGTGGGTTTTTTTAAAGTCTAGATGTAAATGCCACAAGTATTCTGGCTGTAGACACAAATAGGCTGGGGCACATTTGCATGTTGGCAGCAGTGGAAGGAGACAGTGAAGGAGTTATTCAGTGTTTTGGTTTTCAGAGAAGAGAAGTGTATTCAGCCACTAATCCTGATTCATACCCTCTAATCTCCTAATGAAATAAATCCAACCTTTTGTTTTGTTAATTGTCTTTGATGAATTTCATTCATTTGGTCACAAGATTTAGTGTGATTCTATAATCACACGCAGAAAGCAAGAGATATGTTTATAATCCTTCTGACATAAAGATGAAAAATATTTTGTTGACATGTAAATAAAATATGTTCCCTTGAGTTTTATTAATGGTTCCCACAGAAAATGGACTGTCTGCTTTTGATTCTCTAGACCCTTTAAATATTTGTAGGAAAATTTGTAATTAATAGGACATCTCTATCTCACTGACACTGAAAACAGTTTGATTTTATTAAAAGGTGCAAGTTGCATTATCTAGGGCATTTATGAAAGCTTGGGATCGTTATTCTTTTTGGTTGGAATGTTTTAATATAAAGACAGACTTTATAACTTCCTGCCAAAGATGCTTTTTAAAAGCAGATGGTATTCCCCAGATGTTTCTTTACCAGAGAGTTAGTAACTCTGGGTGTGTGTGTGAGAGAGAGAGATAGACAGACAGACATACACACACACACATACACACACACACACACACACACACACACACACACAGAGTGCATGTGTGTGTTCACATGCATGCACAAATATACACATGTATATGGACTAGAAGATCCAACTGGTCAAATGTTAAAAGAATAATATCAGAATAACAGAAGATTAAATTAAATGCAGAATACATGGAAATGGCTTCCTGAAGTCCTTCAACTAGCACTTTATGTTCCTATGTGTGATGTTAGCCTAAGAGTTGGAGAGTTTTAGCCATTACAGGGGGCTCTCTCTCCAGTGTCCAGCTACTTAACTGCAGACACATCATCTTACAAATCAGCATGGTCTTACAAATCATCAATAGCTATGTGACTAGGATAAGAGAAAGAGTGCTTCCCACACTTGGCAGCAATACTTGTGGTGGATAGGGGGAGACTGGAGGGAGCCTGGAGCAAGACCCTGGTGATGATGGTAGAGCAATTGTGGCATTACTGTGGAGATACTGTGGCAAGATGTGACCTGAGGCTTCTTTCATTTGTGTTGGCCACGGTCAAAGGTTTTCCTGTTCTTGCTGCTGCTTGATGAAGAAGCCAATTTATAACCACTCTGATGCAAGCAAACCTTGCTGGATGATTTGGATTTGACTGTTGCACTGAAACCAGAGTCAGGACTTATTGAGGAATTATGCCTTGTGATATTTTGGGCTAAAAACTTGGATTTGCACAGGTAACTTCTTTAGCCTTTCTCACTCTCCAACTGACTTTCTTAATAAACCTTGCTCTCAGTACCACAACTGAGAGTCTGTGAGTCAACAAATAATAAACAAACCTTTTGCTGTTGGTGAGGTTCTAGGGACACCATGGGGCTTGACTGTGGGATCTTTATCTGTTTTCTGCTCTGGGGTGGTGAGGAACTATGCTATTCTCACTCTCTCTGGCCTTTTTCTGAGAGACGTTCACACCGTTGTGCCCCAATATCCCATATTCTTCTCTCTACGCACTGTGACACTATCAACTCAGGTTACTGTATCTTTGTCAATATGATTGTTGGGTGTAGTTGGATCCTTTAACTCTGAGCTCTTTTTTTTCTCGGTGGCTTTGTGTTTTTGTTGACCAGTAAAATAGGCTGAAAATTCTTTTTGTATTCACTGAATCTTGTCCTCGCATTTCCTCTATATTATCTAATAATTATCTATCTGGCATGAGCCTTCCAAATGCTGAGAAAGTTGAGGTTACTTCTTGAGATTACTTTGGAATTTATCAGAACATCTTTCGTTCACTGACTTTGTGTTGATTCTGACTCATAAAGACTCTCCATCAGATTTCTTAGTCTGTAAATGTTTATGGGAGAAAACTTCCCCGCTTTCTCTTACAGAGCAGCCGGCTAATGACTGGTCTTTCCCTTCACAGCCCAAGACGTAACACTCATCACCACCAGAGCTCCCTTATAAACCCTCTTTCCAGATAGCACTGGTTGTTGCCTTTGATATTCTCTTTGTTGGTACCTGTAATTATAATTTCTTTCATATTTAGAGGACATTTCCAGTGAGCCTGCAGAGGTGGAGAGAAAGCCAGCAGATGAGGTGATAGGAAGTCAAATCAGATATGGAGTTGTGTTCTCACGGGCCCTGCTGTCTCCTGCCTATAGTTCTTGCCTATTAAACAGAACATAGAATTGTTATTTGGTGCCATCAAATTGACTACAATTCATAGTGACCCTATGAAAAACATAGAAGGCCAGGAGGAGAGACCTAGATAAACTTCTAATGAGCTTTATCATCATCACGTTCATTAACTATCTTCACTGTAGTCATCTTAATAACGTCAGCCAACATTTCTTGAGTACAAGGACTGGGCTCTTGATAACAACATCACTAGTTAATCCTTTTAAGAATTCTGAGACTCCAGCACTTTTATTGCTCCATAATTTCAGTGGAAAAACCAAAACTCCTTTTTAATGCACAGTGAATGTTTAAGCTTACACAGGTTCTTTTTCAAAGGAGAGCTGTTGTTGTTGTTGTTGTTAGGTGCCGTTGAATTGAGTAAAACTCACAGCAACCCTGTGAACAACTAATCAGAACACTGTCCTGTCCTGTGTTTTCCTCACAATCTCCAACATACTCAACCCATTGCTGCAGTCACTGTGTAAGCTGACCTGGTTGAGGGTCTTTCTCTCTATCAATGTCCCTCCACCTTTCCAAGCATGATGTCCCTTGCCAAGGAATAATCTTTCTTTGTGACATGCCCAAAGTATATGAAATAAAGCTTTATCACCTTTGTTTCCAAGAAGCACTCTGGCTGTACCTTCTCTAAGA